ATTTTCATGATGCATTTATGTTGAACTGCGATTCGGAAACTGATAAAAAGCTACTTGACATCCGCATTATCAAGACTATACCCACTCTACCTCAAGGTTTCTAGTGACAAGAATTCTGAAAGAAATTGTTCATCTTATTTTTTTCCTACTTCAAGTCATGATTTGGTCGATGTCGAAACGGGTGATAGAGATTGAAAAAGATTCATTGCTTGCCGAGGGTGTAAAGGCATTTGCGTCTAATTGAACCTAATGGGGGTCTGAATAAAAAGAAGGAAAGAAGATTGAGTCGACGTCGTTGTGTAATAGCTGGTACAGTATTAGGGCTAAACAAAAATTCAAACACTATTCCGCCTTGTGTGCTTGAGAATGCGATCGGAATTCCTGGCGAACTTACGAGAGCCGTTCATGACTTAATCTCGGTGAATTTTTGGTGGGGTTAAGAGACCCAATGGGATGCTAATCATGCTCATTAGACGGATCCTGTTTCCTTCTCGAAATATTGAACCTTGAGAAATCTGAGTAAAAGGATTCCGTGATTTTCGATGACTCCTGGGTTGATCCCAGCTTTTGTGCAGATGGAATCCGAAGGGGTCTCTCGAAAATCTCGCGAATCGCAGTTGGATGAATAACATGTCTTATCGTTTTTCATAAATTCGCGATGCCATTTTAAAATAAATTTTAAAAAAGTTTGTAGGACGACATGCTGGGAATCTAGTTTTTGAGTCAAACGATTTTGTTTTTCGCATATGGGTCTGCTTCGTATTTCATAATTTTCATGAATTAGCGTTGATGCCTTCAGTCACAGGAAACCTCTCTGAAATTTCAAAAAACTTTCACGAAAAAATCTAAAAGTTTTAGGACGATGGACAAATTTAGAACCTCGTTAACTGAATGTATTGTGCAAAATTGATGAGTTTTGCCTGCCAGTGATTAAAATGATACGGTTATATTTTACATTGACCCGGAAGCTAGAAGTTGCTTCCACATCAGCCACACAATTGTTGCTGATGTGGAACTGAAGTTTTTCAATTAAACGTTAAAATTGTACGACAAAAAAATACAAGCTTGAGATTCAACCAAAAAACATGGTTAGGAGTTTAATTTGAGGAATCCCAGGAAGTGTGAGATTTATCGGATTCAACTCAGGTTTGGGGAAGTAATTTTTCACTGGTTAATTTGATTGCAGTCTGAATGCTCACACTTCCAACAGTTTTTAGTCGAATATGGCGGTGTGAAGATGAGATTAACTTTTATAGATCTCCTGTGCCACCTTCAACAGGTTTTTGGTTCGACAGTCGCTTGACCATCTGTAGTAATATCAGAGTTTGATTGTTGATTGATTTAGTCTGACATGTATTCACACATTTTCAATTCTTCCGGATTCCCAAAAGACTGAAAAGGGAATTGATGAAAGGTCAGACATTCTTGATACTTAGTTCCCTGAAAAAAAAGCAATACAGTAACATCTCATTACAACAAATACAATGTACCAGAATTATTTTGTCCAACAAACTTTTCTCAGGTCCCAGCAGAAAGCCAATAAAAACTTGTGGTAAATTTCCAAATTTCAGTAAAGAAAGTTTTTGAGGAATTTTCAATGGATTCTCCAGGTAGAAATTTCCTGACTAAGGCAGTCATAGTCTGAAATTTCTGATCCCAAATGTGACTGACTAATTCTGTCAGCTTAGATGGAATCTGTGATCAATGAAATAATTGCTTCCAAGGGGTTGCACACATCTTCCTCCCAGAAAGAAAATATTGGTGCAATTGGTGGAGTGAATGATTGAAGCTTCTTTTTTTTCAGAAGATCACTCACTTATTCAAAAAATAAGTAAAAATCTTTAAAATGACAGAAAAGCAAGATCTAATTGATTATAGGCAGGTCTGATGAGAAAAATGTTTCCAGTGGTTTAAAAACATCTTGTTGCAAAAAATGATTCATTGCTAAAAACGTTTCTGAAGTTCCCAAAAGTTAAAAAAAATGAGATATCACTGTAATTTGAAATCAACTGAATGTGACGGAAGCAGAACTTTCGAGTAATTCCTGGAACCATCAAAGGAACTGCTTCCGCTGAATGAATTTTCAATTGTTCCAGGGTCATATCAGAATCCATTTTTCTGGATTCCTTAAATTTTTTCTCTGAGATTTCACTGCAATTTGAAATCAACTGAATGTGACGGAAGCAATACTTTTGAGAAATCCCTGGACCCATCGGAGGAACTGCTTCCGCTGAAGGAATTTACATTTGTTCCTTTTTCTTCGTAATCCATTTTTCTGGGTTCCCTAAAGTTTTTTTTTTTCGCCGAGATTTCCATGCAATTTGAAATTAACAAAATGTGATGGAAGCAATACTTTT